ACAACGATTTCTATTTTTGTAGCTCACAAAGAAGCCGTTAATCAGACGACTATTAGCGTACTTATTGACATGAATGGTTGTATAAACATGTGATTTAGGGGCCAAAAACAGACCTACCCAAGAATTTCTGTCCATCGCCTTGCCTTTAGTATTTGGCTGCATGTTGGCCGTTACCGTGTTGACGATTATCATTCTTCGACAAATGAGGCGGTATTGGTCGTTAATCAATCAGCCGTCGTTGTTTGAAAGTTGCACATGCGATAAAATGCGCGAAAGGGATCAAAACGGCGTCAGCAACTTTTCCAGCTCAACAACATATTACGACGAATCCAACTGGTCTCTGGATTCCAGCATGGATGGTGGACGCAATATGCCAAAGCCAAATGAGCAAAACTTGTCCGCCCTCAACCGAGAATCATCTGGAAACTTCACATCATCCTCCAAAGCAGCCCGATACCAACAAAAGTTTTCGCTGTCTTCCAGTAACTTATTCGTGAAAGACCAACAAAACAGCAATAAAGAAAACACTATCAGCAACAACAACAGGGGCTACCACCCGAAGATGCCTTTCGTGACGTTCTGCGAGAAGAATGCACAACAGCCTAAACGGACCATCATTGAACTGGAAGTAAACGTGTAGTCGAAGGGCACATCCTTCCCTCTTTCGTTCACAGACTTTCGACTTTCGCTGCTTTCCGCATAGCGTTATTGCTGATCGAGAAAAATCGATCAATTCGTCAAACGGGAAATCAAAGTTCGGGTGCCAGGTTTTGAATCCAGTGTACAGTTTCCGGTGTTCGCTACAGTAAACCAATATAGCTGGACTAGCGGCGTTCCGAAAAGAGTCGAGTCGAACCGAATCGCTCAGGCATCATTTCTTGCGTATAATCTAACTGTAGCGGCTTCGTGATTTATTTCCTATTTTTATTTGCTATGATGGTTTGTATTTTATTACGGTATATACGCCATAATTCAATGATGATGGCAGACTTCCTTCACTGCTCCGTATTTATAGTCAACTTCGCTCAGCTTAGCTTCACGCCAATCACAATGAAGTCGGTATGTTGTAGTCATTCGCTGTTATTTCACTATCATATAACGGAAGTAAAATTTTACTCTGTCAAGGAACCTGTAGTTGAATTTCAAAATTCAACAGAAATTGATACACAAGTGAGTTACTGTTCGATACGATGCGCACGGCATTTTGGAATGTCGCGAATGACCAGTCTAAAATGGAGGCGAACCTTACGAATGATACGGATGAGAATTTTTTTACACGCTATCACTTTTATTTCGCGCCAACATGGACCCATATTGGCGCTTTAAAATGTACCCTTTTCAGGATAAGATGAAGCTGGTGGCAGACGAAAACACGAGTATTGTCTATGCTACGATCTGTTGCAACTCGTGGGCTAAACGTGATACATGAATAAAGCGGCGAAGAACTATTTAAAGAGCTTTAATTGTTTTCATGATACAGATGGCTACATCCATTGCCATCACCGATGTTCTTAAACCAGAGTAAGATAGATATCTCAGACAACTAGTCACAAATCTTATATCCGAATTTCACTATATTTTACGTGAAGAAAGCTCAGGTTTGCTTGGCCGGTTTGGGTAATTCTTCATACTGAGTTACCTAAATATCAAAAATCATTCATACATAAAGTATGCAGATTTTTTGCAAAGTTTATCCCTCTCGGCGTTTCATTTGCAAAAATCTTTCAATAAAATCACGGAAACAATACTGTTCACGCAGTCCTGCTGCATGCTAGGGGATTCAGTGGTCTTGTGAAAATGAATCTGCAGTTATTTATAATACATTAAGGTATGATAAACTCTGACCACAGCTTTACCTCCACCAGCATAGAAATAAAATTGCCAGCCATTATTCAACTATCACTGGTATGGTAATAAATTACTAATACCTCAACACTAATCGTAAAGGCATAGCGAATATTTACTGTATTGTTAACAGAAGGCGACAGAGGAGCGAACTTCACCGCTGCCATATTACTACCGCTTACTGACATCCAAGTTCGCTATTTTGCTGCTTCACTAACAGTACATGACTAAAGGTTTAATAACCTAATACTTTACCATTCGTAGTTGAAAAACTGTTCCACTTGAGCTCTTCTACACTGCTACTTGCTTTGCAGTATGACATTACCTTATCATCTCCAGGAGAAGCGGTGTACTACCGTAAACTATTAACGAAACAACAGAACAAATTATTAAGTCATCAGCAACAAAGCGATGGTTCCATTTATTATTATGTACAGAACTTGGCTTTCTTAAAATGCTTTGATTAAATATAACCTAGTAAAGCTATCTGGTCCTTGCTATATCTCTTTGTCGGCTTTATTAAGACAATCCAGCTTGCGAATTTCTGATTTATATAACATAATCAAACCACTGCAATTTCTAATCTGTAGAAGAATAAACTAATAAGGCACCTCAAACTGTCGTGTGATAAAACTTGAAGAGTATCGAAGGAACTTAACTGCCCCGTTTTTTTCACACTTTTTCCGGCAATGTTCACCCTCATTACCACAGACAGATTATAGGCAAGATAGCCTAGCATTTCTCTTTCTCCATCATCGCATTCCACCTAAGTCCTAATGACATTGTTTGTACCTTAGTTGTCCCAGGTGTCTCTCTAACCGGATAGCGAGATTAGTTTAGGTTATACGATCCGGTTGGCTAGAACATACATATCGTGCCAAACCATCTGCCTAATGTTCGAATAAGTCTCTTTAATATTAAACAAGCTATTTATTTTTCAGTTATTCTTTTGATCGTTAACGGAATTTTAAAAACTTGAAGCACTTGAAGAATAGCCTATCAAAAAACCTTTACTAAATCCAAGTCACAGTGAGCTTCCTGTAATGCACGAAGACAAGCCAGGGATTCGTCGTAGCCACCGGCACGCTGGACAGAGGTCGCCGGCTTAACGTGAGCGAGGAAACCGTCTTCGGCAAGCTTCGAAAATGACCCGCAAAACATTATGCCAGCCAGCAACTGTCTTTCAGTGTATTCGTACTTTTCGCCTTCGTTTGGCACCGTGAAGTTGCTGGTATCAACAGTTAGCAATTTCCGACGTTTAGCATCGGACCGAGGAGTCTGTCCAGCGGTGGCCTTCATTTTTTCAAACAACTGGCGTTTTTTGTTGCTAATTATCAGTTCGGCCGGGATGCTCGAAGTCATCAACTCATTGATAATGTCATCAGCGATAGCATCAGGACGATTTTCGCTAGATTCTGTTACGCTTTCATCGACTACATTGGTCACTTCAGACATCACTCGCTGATGCATCATCTCTTCTTCGTCCAACATCGCTTGGATCCACTCGTCGTCTTTAGTCTTGCGGTTCTTGCTTCGGGCGATCTGCTCTTCGTGCTGCTTGGCGAACTCTGCCACCTCGCGCTTCGTCTCTTCTACATGCCTGTCGTTGACCAAGTTGAAGACAAGATTTTCGAACTTTTCGAGGTAGTCATTGTAAGAACGGAGGTCAGGAAAGTCATTCTCTACCAGAGTGAAAACTTTTTGCAGTTTCTTGCGGAAGAACACCTCTTTTTCGGTCAGCGGATCTTCGAACATCTGTTGCCAGAAACTGCTTCTTTTAAGCACGCGCCGACAGGTCGGGCACGGCCCCGACTGTCTCGAGAACATACGGTCGACACAGTTGCGACATAGAGGATGTCCGCACTCGTTGATCATCAGTACGAAGTCACGGTTGTTATAATCACTGCTCTTGCACTGGGGGCAACTTCGCCTCGCCCTGACGGCGATGCCACTCCCTGACGACGAAGACTGTAGGGAAGACGTTATGAAGATGAGGAAGGACGAGATGAAGAAGTAATGAGTTTGTTCTACCGCTGCTGAGGTTGTTTCTCAATGACCAGTTTTGGTCCTGGATACAATGAGTTAACAACCGTCTGCCGTTTCAACAGTTCGACGTTCCGCTCACCCTCTGCGTACAGGTGTTCCAGCAGCACCGGGTCCTTCTCGTGACGGTAGTGCAGAAAATATTCACGAACACGACGACGGGCAAAACAACGGTACGAATACTCGGTGAATTTTGACGCTTGCGATATCAGGTCTTTATACAGGCGTAGCCACATTGCCCGACTTATAGAAGTCATGGGTGCAGCTTTACAAAAAACATGGGCATCAATATCACGTCCTACAATGAACATATAAAAAAGCAAAATATTATGACGAAGTTACTGAGACGATCATACGCCAGCGGCATCAAAACCGATCATCTGCTTTTAATGATATCCACGCAGAATTCTTCACATGCACTGTGGTGTTAACAAGACTTCTTTGGATTATTCTCTAGTTAATGATTTTGCAGCTTCTTCTAGATACGTGGTTTGTGAGGATTACTTGTTTTACAAAACATTCTCAAATATAATCTTTAGGTAAATCACAAACGGGAAGACAATGCATAAAATAGTCTTTAATTAGGGACATCTGACGATTCGGAAAAGCTCGATCCGAAACGACAGGTGTCCATAATTAAAGACGATTTTATGCGTTGTCTTCCCGTTTGTGACTTACCTAAAGATTATATTACCTCCCGCATAAAGAAATCATGTACAGTTTTCAACATTCTCAAATAAGTAATATTCAATAAGCTAACACTTCAGAGGCTCTAAGCACAAGGATATTTGCTACATCTGACAACGTTAAGTCAATCTATTTTAGTCATTCTCAGGGTCAAAAAGTTATGTTAATTAGTTAAAAAATAATTAATTAAATAGTTATA